CTGAGTTTGTGGCAATAAAATTGTAGAAGAACTCAGCAAACTAAACTATTCCTATCAAGTTCCCACTGGAAAGGAAGGGGACATCTTCAGTAATACAACTGAGGATTATTTAGCTGGAGAAGTAGGTTCCTGAGACGAAGGGCTAATCTTGCCTTCTGGAAGAAAGGATGGTATTCAAAGACAAGCTCAAATAAGTAGTGTCCCAGAGAGCTAGGGAACCAGCTGATGTTTGGCGGGAGAGTATGATCAAGGTCTTCTGTCATAGACGTCTCAAGCTGAGGTGATCCTAGCTTCCTTAACTTAATTCTTCAAAGTGAGTTCATTTGGAAAAAAATTTAATAAAACTTTATTGAAGTAAAATTTGTTTACATATGTGTACACCCATGTGACCACCTACTAGACCAAGCTGTAAAATATTGTCATTATCCAGAAAGTTCCTTCATGCTGTTTCACAAACAATGTCCACTCTAGAGGTAAACACCATTTTGACTTCTATCACTATAGATCCATTTCGCCTGTTCTTTAACTTTATATAAATGAAGTCATACAGTGTATATTTTGTGTTTGTGTGTGTGTTTCTGGGTTCTTTATCCAACATAATGGTTTGGACAACGTTCTGTTGTGCTCTAAGAGGTTTTCATTGGCTAATTTTCAGAAGTAGACCATGTTGTGTGTATCCATAGTTTGTTTTTCTTTATTGCTGAATAGTATTCCAAAGAAGATAACCAGCTGGTAAGCATAGGAAAAGATTATAAATATCAGTAGTCATCAAGAAAATGCAAATTAAAACCATACCATGATATCAGAATGAATATGGTTTAAAAAGACTGGTAATGGGAAGTGTTGGTGAGTGTGTGGAACAACTGAAATTCTCCTAGATTATTGGTGGAAGCGTAAAATAGAGCAACCCTTTTGGAAAACTATTTTGTACTTTGTAATAAAATTAAACTTACCCTGTTGCTGTTTTGTGTGCCGTCGAGTCAGGTACAACTCATAGCGCCCCTATATGACAGAGTACAACTCTTCCTCAGGGTGTCCTAGGCTGTCATCTTTACAGGAGCAGATCACCAGGTCTTCTCTGGTGGGTTCGAACTGCCGACCTTTTGATTAGCAGCCAGGCACTTAACAACTGTGCCACCAGGGCTCCTTAAGTTTATCCTATGACCTAGAAATTCCATTCCTAGATATAAGTCAAAAAGTATTGCTACAAAATCGTAGACATAGCCTCCGTCCAGCTCTGTTCACTTCTGAAGGTGGTGTTTCCATCTCTAACTCTTCCTCAAAGAATTCTACGCTCTGATTTACACCATGACAAAATGGCAGTTTTGGCATCCTCAAATGACTCGAATCCTGTTCCTTTTAAATGTTCTTTGAGTTTTGGGAACAAAAAGAAATCTTAAGGGACAAGATCAGGGCTGTAGGGGAATGGGGTAAGCTTTCCTAATGAAAGTCTCGTAGGACAACACTTGCTACCCTCAAAGAATGAGCAGGTGCATTGTCGTGATGGGAAAAAATTCCTTGGTGCAACATTCCTAGACTTTTTCTCACCAATGCAGTTTTCAATTTTCTTAAAACTTCTTCACAATAAGCCCACGTGATCGTCCATGTCCTTTGAGAAAATCTATCAAGATTATCCCTTTGGAATAACCATAACCTTATAAGCGGTCTTTCCTGTCTTGGCTCATCTTTGAGGCTCTCCCGACCTTCCTTAAAGCGCTTGATCTATCTAAAAACTGTTGTTTCATGTGGGACAGCATTCCCATAAACTTGTTGCAAAGTTTCAATGATTTGGGAAGATGTCCACCTGAGCTTTGTTCAAAATTTGATATTAGCCGTGACCTCAAGATCATTTTTTCCACGGCACAAAAAGTAGTCTCTTTTTTTCTTTTTTGAAAGCGCCTTAACGAGACTGAGACAAGTGTATTACTGAGAGGACTTGTCTGCGGCCGTCCGCTGGTCGCACAGACACGTTTAAACACGTTTTGTTTGGAATAAAGGCATGCATGTATGAACTGGAACCCTAGTAGCAATACTTTTTGACCTACCCTGGTATATGCAAGAAAAATGAGTGCGTGTGTTCACAAAAATGCTTATAAAAATGTTCATAGCACCTTTATTCACAATAGTCCTAAATTGGAAAAAAACAATCCATCAACAGGATGATGGATTCACAAACTGTAGTACATATTTAAATGAATACTTTTTAAGGGCTGCTACACGCAAAATATTCTCTTTACCCTGGTCATCTCTTCCTGCTGTGGGCATGGCACCCTCTTGTTGGGGATTCCGTTTCATTCTCAGCCTCCTCTGAATGCAGGAAGGGAGTCATGGAAAGTCCACATCTTCCAATACCAGTATAAATCCAATTCTCCCTAGTGGATACCACATTCTAGATTCTGGGTGCCACACCATTCAACAAGGGTCCAATTTCATAAACATTTTCTAAGCATAATGCTAGACTCTAAGAGGATGATACAGACACGGTCACTGCCATAGTCATAGTGGTTAAAAGCTTGATCCTTGAAGTCAGAAAGACCCAGATTTGGATTCCAAATGTACCACTTCTTAGCTATATGCCCTGGGGCAAGCTCTGGTCTCCTCATCTGTATAATGCATCTGTGCAACGCAGACGGTAACAACAGTGCCCACCAAAAAAATCATTTTAAGAATTAAATGAGAGGATGCACAGCTCAATTCATCTTTGTAGATTTTCAACCAGTGTTATTATTGGAGTTATTATTAGTAGTAATATTAGTATTATTATATTTACAATCTCATGAGAAGAGAAGACATATAACTATTCATACAACGCAGATGATCAAAAGTGCTAAAATACAGGTAAAATGTGCTCTGGGGATATGGAGAGAGAAGAGGGAAATTTTGATCAGGGAATTCTGGCAAGGTTCTCATAGGATTTATAGAAAGTTGGGATGTATCAGCTTAGGAAACAAGAGCTACAGCTCCAACTTTAATGACCAAACAGCACAGCAGCAGGCAACATGATGCCATATAAAAGGCATCAAGTTCGAAGTCCCACAGCCTTAGGCCTGCATCTGGACTCAGCCATTGATTAGCCAGAGGAGCTTGGACAAGTAATTTAAAACTGCTCTAAGCTTCAATTTCATCATTTGTAAATGATGAGAATTCCTATTTCTAATGGTTATTTTACAGGTAAAAGGAAATATTTATAAAAACCTAAAAGCCAAAAAACAAACCTGTTGAGGTCGAGTCGATTCCGACTCACAGCGACCCTATAGGACAGAACAGAACTGCCCCACAAAGTTTCCACGGAGCGGCTGGTGGATTCGAACTGTCAGTCTTGTGGTTAGCAGCCGGAGCTCTTAATCGCTGTGTGGCACAATACTAATTACCCAATGTCTAAATTTTAACAATCATATTAACGGAGCAAGAAACGAAGGCTCCACACACTCTGTCCCCATTGGGGTGGGGATGGGGGGTGTCCCTTTCACTAGGACAGCATGATGACCAGATGGTGACATTTGTCTACAGCGATGACTCTTACAGTGGTTATAGGGCACTCTGAGAATCTAGTCCTTCCTGCCAGGAAAATGCACACACATGAAAAAACTTGCATAAAACAAGACTTGCACACCAACGTTGCAACACTGTTCACCCCAGCCAAAAGGAGGAAATGGCCTAAATGTCCATCAACAGATGAATGGGTAAACAAAATGTAGTACATAGACAAGGAAATATTATTCTGTCATAAAGATAAATCAAGACCTGATACAGGCTACAATATGGACGGATCTTGAAAACACCATGCCGAGTGAAATAAGTCAGTCACGAAAGGACAAATATTGTACAATCCCACTTCTATGAAATTTCTAGACTAGGCAAATGCACAGCTATCTAAGTTTATCTGTGGTTACCAAGGACTGGCAGGAAGAAGGGGGAAAAGGGGACTCATTGCTTCGGGAAGGCTGAGCTTCTGCTAAGGGTGATGGAAAAACTTGGAAATGGATGGTGATGACGGTCGGACAACAAGATGAATGTAATTAATGTCACTGAATTGTACACATGGAGAATGTTGGAATGACAAATGTTTTGTTGCGTATATATTTACCACAATTGAAAAATCGCATAATGCCAAAAGATTCGAAGACCTCCCTAGAACGCAATTCATGGAGTCCCTGAACTTCCAGAGGCCCCAGTGAAGAGCATAGCACCAGAGAGAGGGGTACACCAAATCATGACAGGAGAGCCTCTTAGAATCTCGTCCTACTACCTGCTCTTGAATTTTTGCTGACTCGGAAGCAAACGGTGGACTGAAGCGTAAGAGCAAAGCTGATAAAAATGTGTCTCTGTGATGGCGTTTTTTCTCACTCAAATTATTTACCAGATCTCCAGCCCCATTAACACTGTGCTGACCTTGCGCCATCTGCACCCTGCTGAGTTGACTGTAAGAGTCCTGTTGTTGAGACCTTCAGGCAGGTAGTTTTGTGAACTTGTAAACAAATCCACACAGAGGCGTTGGTCAGGCCCCTGCTTGCTGTACACATTTCCTTTCCCCAGGCTGACACCTACCTCATTACACTCGAGGTTTTCTCTTACACAGCCAAAGGGCCAGGTTGACTGAGGGATTTTTTTAAAACATTTTTCCCAGATGGTTTGACATTTTGCGTAAACAGCCTGTTATTGTTGTTCGGTGCCCCCTACCCCTAGACTATTTGGACTCATGGTGACCCCGTGTGACAGAGTAGATCTGCCCCATAGGGTTTTATAGGCTGTAATCTTTATGGAAGCTAGGAAAACTGGAAATCGTGTGTGACGTCTCCAGCACCTTGTGCAGTGCCTAGCCCACAATAGACACCCAAATATTTATTAAACGAATGGAGGATTTACGTCTACCTCCAGTAACCCCGGGGAAAGCCCGTCTGAGAGTGCCACTGTGTAGTTGTCAAGGAGAGAATGGCAACAGCAACGGCCGCAAGTGGCTGTTGCTTAGGAAAGACCAACACAGAGCAGGGGACCAGGCTATGTGTGGCTGCACCCACAGCACCCAGGACCAACTGCCCCACTCGGAAGGGGGATCCAATCCTTCTACAGCCCCCACATCTACTTTAGCACCTAGGAAAATGCCCAAAAGGTCAGTGGCTCTCTTTTATTGAGTTTCATTTAACTTACAGGTATATTTCAAAAGAATTCTGGTGGTGCAGTGGTTAAGATCTTGGTTGCTAACGAAAAGGTGGGTAGTTCAAATCCACCAGCTGCTCCTTGGAAACCCTATGGGGCGGTTCTCCTCTGTCCTATAGAGTTGCTATAAGTCTGAACCAACTCGAGGGCAACGGGTTTGGTTTCTGTTTTCATGTCAGCAGCTTGAAAGCCAAGATATCGCAGGTTTGGTACATGTTACCCACCCTACTCAGCTTTAAACTGAATCAGAAAACCGAAGGAAGCTGACTTGACTTTGAGCGCAGACTGAAGGAGCGATCCGATTAATGCAAGTATCTTTGATTGCCTCTTGAGAAACATTTGTAAATCGAAACTGGTAATGATTTTAACTGTATAGCATATTTTTTCCAATTATCTACAACAGAAGGAAATTGCTTCCTATCATTTGGATGTGTAAAATTAGGCCTAATGATTGAAAAAATGTTCTGTCCCATGTAATTCTATTTAGGGGACCTACTTTAGTTCAGAAAACATTGTTTTTGCACTCCTAACGGTGGTAAGTCCTCTGGTAAGCGTGGGGTGGGCGGCACAGAGATAGCACAGCCGATGCTCTCATGGGCCTCCCAGACTAATGGCAGAGAGAGAAACCAGATCACGGCAATGGAGAACAACACACGCCACGTGGCAAGCGCACCTTGTGCAAAGTGAAAAGGTGGTATAGAGGCCGAGAATCCATCCTGTGAAGCCAATGACAATGGTGCAGAGTTTGAGGAGATAAAATGAGCTCACCGGGAAGACAGTAAGCGCCCAGGAGATCACTGTCCAGCTTCCTAATTTTACAGAGAAGAAAATAAGGCCCCCAAAGGAGCTGACCCTTCAGCTAGTTAGTGCCAAAACCAGGTCTTGAATCCAAAAGCTCCTTTTAAGGAATTGTCCACCCTATGACCAAGTTCTTATTTTTATTGGCTTTCTCAAAAACGGCCCAGCCATTGGGGTATGACGTATCAAGTCGACTTTGATTTGCTTTTTGTAAGGCAGCAAGATACATCTCCCTGCCTCCAGTCTGGCCCCTTTCCCATGTACTTCTGACGTAACAGGTGAAATAATTTTCCAAAATGCAAGACTGATTTTGTCATTCACTTACTCCCCAAATGCCTATAAGATAGCACCCTGACTCCGTCGTGAGCCCTCAAAGGCTCAGCGTGCTCTGGCCCTGGCGCTGACTTCCCCCTCACCGTCCACCTCTGTCTCCGTCCTGGTCCAGCTTCCAGCTGCACTGTACTTCCTCTGGTTCTTCAGTCATGTCGTCCTTTCTCCCACCTCAGAGCCTCAGCACACACTGTTCTTTCTGCTTGAACACTCTTCCTCTTTCTTCATCTGGCAAATGCCTACCAGTTAATTAGGCTCAGGTAAAATGTCATTACCATGACCTGTAGACTGGGTTTACCCCTCTCTGCCCTCTATATGTGTTTAATGTCCGTCTTATGCTCCAGACGCTAAACCCATAGAGGGCGGGAGCAAGCATTGACCCCCCCCCCCGCCCCCCCGCATCAGCACGCCACCTGGATTTTTAGTTAGGTAGGCTAAGCTGCTGGAACAAATAAACTTCAAAATTTCAGTGGTTTATGGAACAAGAAGTTGGATTTTTATTTTCTGCATGACAGCCCAGACTGGGGGTCCCAGGTCTGTGGCAACTCCACTCCATGTAGCCACGTAGGGACCTAGGCTGAGGGAGGCCCTGCCATCTTCAACATGTGGTTTTCAAAGTCTTTGTGGTAATTTCCATCACAGTCAGCTGAAAGTAGGAAAGAGCACAGAGGTGCTCACATGGAAGATGTTCACTTCCCTTCCACTCCCATTTCGTTGGAGGGAATTTAGTCACAAGGCCACTGTGATGGTTAAGATTGTGTATCAGATTGGCTGGGCCATAATTCTCAGTGTTTATATGTGCTCATTCCCATGATGGGATCTGCTATGTGTAGCCAGTCTGTTGAAAGGGAGTTTCCTTGGGTGTGTGGTCTGCATCCAAATAGAAGCAGACATTTTGGCTTTTTGCTCACTCTGGATCTTGTGGCTTTCTCCTGTTTGTCTGACCTCCAGTTGTTACCTGCTGATAAGTTTATCTGCTGATCTTGGGATTCGTGGATCTTCACAGCCTGTGAGCAGGAGCCCTGCTCTCTGACCTGCCGATCTTGGGTCCACCAGCCTCTGTGGCTATGTGAATCAGGAGAAGCCTTGCGGTCTTACCTGCCAATCTAGGGATTTGACGATCTTCACAGCCTGTGAGCATAAGCCCTGCTCTCCGACCTGCAAATTTGGGTTCATTAGCCCCTGTGGCTACATGAATCAGGAGATGCCTCTATCCTGCTCCACAAACTTGGGATATTCCAGCCTCTACAATCGAGTGAGCTGTTTCCTTGATATAAATCTCTCTATATATATATTTATACACTTTACTGGTTTTGCTTCTCTAGAGAACCCAGCCTAAGGCATTTGGTACTGAGAGTGGGATGCTGCTCTAACAGCACCAAAAATGTGGAAGTGGTTTTGAAACTGTGAATGGATAGAGGATTCAGAAGGAAGTGAGGAGACCTGTTACACTGGAGACAGCGCATATGGTGAGAAACAGCAGCAGAGAACCGGCAGCAGCAGAACCAGGAGACCAGTGCTAGACAGCACTGGAGCCAACCCACAGAGGGAGAGGGAGAGAGCTGAATGTCTTGGTGCAGGAGGCTCCCTGGTGGAGTGGGATGCCTCCAGGCACTTATGGGTGGAGCTAGGCTTGCCGACACATGGAGTAAGAGAGTTGAGTGCCTTCTGGCCGAAGTTTACTGGCAGAGCAGGGTGCCTCCAGGCACTTATCGGTAGAGCCACAGAGCTTTGGAACACTTGCCCCAGCAGGGAAGATGCCGGCGTGAGGCCCAAGGAGCCAAGAGGCCAAGAATCCAGGAAGCAGAAGCTGAAGAGACAAGGAACACAAGAAGCTAAGCTGCCTCAGTCTCAAAAGGCATAGCCATTGCTTTTTGTGTTTCCAAGGGTGGAGTTGCCACTCAGATGGACTAGGAGAATGGTGCGCCTAAAGCAGAGGGAGCAGAGTTGCTGTCCCAGTAGGTCTGGAAGGTGAAACTGAAGCCCAGGGCCAAGGGGCCTCCACTCTGAATCCAGAGAGTGTGGCCAATACCTAGAGTCTGGAGGGCAGGACTATTGTGTGAATGTTCTCAGAGAACAGAGGATTATTTTCAAGACTTGAGGTCTAATGTAATGTGTTCTGCTAAATTGCTTGGTGCCTATTATGCCTTTTTTCCCTCCAATTTCTCCCATTTGTAATGGAAATGTCTAGCTTGTACTTGCCCGTTGCACCATTACACCTTTGGAAGCAGACAACTTGTATTCTAGATTTCACAGAGGAGGAAAAATTTTTGGATTTTGGACCTGGAGTTTATTTAAGACTTTTGCTATGGTATGATGGGGTGAATGTGTATTACATGTGGCAAGGACATAAATTTTGGGGGACCAAAGGGTGGAATGTCATGGATTGAATTGTTTCCCCCAAAAATATCTGTCAACTTGGCTAGGTCATGATTCCCAGTATTGTATGATTGTCTACTGTTTTGTCATCTGATGTTATTTCCCTATCACTATGATGTTAATGAAATGGATTAGCGGCAGTTACATTGATGAGATCTACAAGATTAGATAGTGTCTTAAGCCAGTGTCTTTTGAGATATAAAAGAGAGATGTGAACAGAGAGACATGGGGACCTCATACCACTTAGAAAGCAGCACCGGGAGCAGAGCAAGTCCTTTGGACCTGAGGTTCCTGTGCTGAGATACTCCCAGACCAAGGGAAGACTGATGACAAGGAACTTCCTCCAAAGCCGACAGAGAGAGAAAATCTTCCCCTGGAGCTGACATCCTGAATTTGGACTTGTAGCCTACTAGACTGTGAGAGAATAAATTTCTCTTTGTTAAAGTCATCCACTTGTGGTTTTTCTGTTATGGCAGCACTAGATGACTAAGACAGCAACATTATTGCCAAGAAGACTGGGATGTGTGGGTTAGCAGGTCAGCCTCTGGCCAGGTATTTCTCTATAATGTGGCAAGGGAAGAAAGGATTTTGGCAGATAGCTGGCTACTCCACTAGAATGCCCAACGAATATTTGTTGAATACAAAAATAAGTAAGTTAATTTTATAACAGATTGGCTCATAGAATAAAGACTATCACCCATGAGTAATGAGCTCCTAAAAAAATCATCTTTATGAGACCAATCAGTCAGAAATTACTCTGAAACAAAGATGAGAAGCTAAGGACCGGGAAACTAGAGTACTGGACATGTACTATCAGAACAGAATGAATGAGAATAGCGACACATTGTGAAAAATGTAACCTATATCACCGAATAATTTGTGTAGAAATTGTTATTTGGGAACCAAATTTACTGTGTAAATTTTTGCCTTAAACACAATAAAATAGAATTTTAAATATTTTTTAAAATAAGTTAATTTTAAAATTATTATATTGATTTACCCTGGATCATGCTATCAACACCCAAACTCATATTATGTTTTGTTCATTTTGTTGGCAGCATTTCAATATCCAAACAGCTGGCTTCAATAAAAGGTAAGGAAGGCGTGGGGTCACTGGGGCGTATCGTGTTTCCCTCAGGCAGGATGATGTGTCAAGATTTTAAAATAATGGGACATCAAAGATGTCAGGGATGTAACGAAACTTGTAGAGAGATCATCCAAACATTCATGATGTTCTTTTTAAAGTGTGGGAACTGAGGTCCAGTGATAGGAATTAGCTTCGCCAGTCCATGAAAGGCAGAGCTAAGATGAGAGTATGGATCCCCTGACTCCTAATTCAGTGATCTTCCAGGTGTCCAGTTGCCTTTCCATGGGCTGCATCCTCAGGATGTCCAGAGCAGAACCACAAGTGTCTGACTCATGAGTACTCAGTGGAGCTCAAAGTACAATCAACTCCTGACTGCCTTTGCTGATTGAGTGAAAACACAGTGTGGCCCATTCCCAAAGTGTAAATATTTGCCCACGGAATTCTATTTTATAAGTAGTGAGATAATAACATTGCTATGGAAACAGCAATGTAAGAAAATAAAAACATATACTTGCATCATTATCTTCTTCCAAAATGTGCGGCTTCAAATGTTTACTGAGTAACAAGCACAGGCCATCCAGTTTCTGAAAACATCCAGCAAGATGTTACGATTTTGCAGTTGTTTTTCCTTCCTGGACAGCTGGCCTACTCTTCAGAAGAGACTCTTTATATTTTTATTTAAATAAATCTCCATCTTAATGAAAATACTACTATTTTACCACCGTCAGATTATCCAATAGGCAAGGTAAGCACTGTTTACCTTGCATACCAGATCATCTGTAGTGAATAATTTAGCATATTTTTAGCACATCAAAGATTCTGCTTCTAGGTGTGGCTGGCAGCTGTCTGTCTCCCCACCCCACAGCATCTTCCTACAGAATCAAAGCCTCTTTTCAAATTTACAATCTCTGATGAGGATGGATTACCAGTGAGCAAGGTAAGCACGGGTTTACTTGTGCTTACTTCCTAATCCAAAGGAAGTAAGCACAAGTAAGCCCATGCTTACCTTGCTTATTGAGTAATCCACCGCTGATTTTTACACTATCACAATACAACAGACCAATCATTACTTTTTTACAATTTATAGAATTTCAGGAAATCTTGATAATTGTTCCATCACGTTTCTTGCATAATTTTTCCCATTCAGGACAGTTTTGCGGTGCAAAATTTTGAGACGTACTGGAGTATCCGGTTGCTCTTTTGACATCGTTCACTACTCCATCCCCAGAATGAGCACAAACCAATAAGAGCCAGTTGGTGTTGAGTCAGCTCTGACTCATGGTGACCCCATGTGTGTCAGAGCAGAACTGTGCTCCATAAGGTTTTCAATGGCTGAGTTTTCAGAAGTAGATTGCCAGGCTTTTCTTTCAAGGTGCCTCTGGATAGACTTGAACCTCCAACGTTTTGGTTAGCAGGAGAGCGCATTAATCTTTTGTACTACCCAGGGACACCCAGAACTAGAACAGGGCCTGCCAATAAGTACTTGCCAATAAAAACTTGTTGAATGAATAAAGAATTTAGGGAACCCCACACCATTCAGTATTATTATAGCATAAAAAGTGAGCTAAGAGAAAAATAGCAGGAGAGGAAGACGTGAGTGGCCTGGCGTACCACCCTCTCCTCCACCCCCACGCCAGAGGCAAGAGAGATAATAAAAGATGCCAAAAGAGAAACGACAATTGTTTGCAGTTTTAATGGCACTTAGCCCTTTACAATATGCTTTCATATACTCACTCACAACTCTGTGAGGCAGACAGGGCAGGGGTTAGGAGGCAACATGCTAGGTTTATTAAGGGAAGAACTCAGCCATAAAAACAAGAAACCAAGCTTCTTGCAAAATATCATCAGTGTTTGTAGGACAACCAGAGGTCCTTGCTATCTTTTATTTTTAATATTTTCTACTTCTGTTTTTACCATGAGCATATGCTGTTTTATAGTCCAGGGTGGGAGAGGCATGCTGTTTTTTTAAAAGAGAAGGTGGCTAGTCCAGATGGAGTCCTCATCCAGACAGCAATCAAACCTAGACTCCCTCAGAGGGTTGAAAAATGCCCGGATGCCACAGCCTCCACGGGATGCCCTTGCAAGGAGGTATTCCAAGGTGATGAATCTTCCCATGGACATTGAAGTCAGGCAGACCTTCAAATCCCACCTCAGCCACTTCCTACAACGTGACTTTAAGGCTCTTAATATCTCCCTGCATCCAATGTGTAAAACTGAGACACAATAGTCCCTACCTCCACGGGTTTTACTAAGTGAGATTACATAAGATTATGATTGGAAGGAGCCTGACACATAGGACAAAAGGAAGGTGTCTAGCTTTTTTGCAAAATCCACTGTTTCCTCACCAGGAGGTCATACCCAGGAGAGCAAGTGGCTACTGTTCTCCATGAACATTCTCAGACCCAGTAGACCAGGAGAGAAAGTAGCTACTGTCCTCCATGAACAATCTCAGACACAGCGGACCAGGAGAGCAAGTGGCTACTGTCCTCCAGGAACAATCTCAGACCCAGGAGACCAGGA